CATAATCTTTGCCAAGTAATTATAGACCTGTTAGTTTAACTTCAAAAGTTGGGAAGATACTCAAGAGTTTTTTTAAATGACCACATAGATGAGTTCTTGCTAGAAAAAAAACTTACAAGCTGACCTCAATGCACTGCTGAATTGGGCAACTGTGTGGCAAATGAGATTTAATGTTGATAAATGTAAAGTTATGCATTTGGGGGCTAAGAATATGCATGCATCATACATACTACTAGGGGGGGTACAACTGGGGTTCAATGGTGGAGAAGGATCTGGGAGTTCTGGTAGATCATAAGCTTAATAATGGCATGCAATGCCAAGCTGCGGTTTTCTAAAGCGAGCAAAATCCTCTCTTGTATTAAAAGAGGTATAGACTCCAGAGAGAGAGATATCATATTACCCCTGTACAAATCATTAGTAACACCTCATCTGGAATATGCAGTTCAGTTTTGGGCACCAATTCACAAAAAGAACATTGGAGAACTGGAGAAAGTACAGAGAAGGGCAACTAAACTGATAAGAGGCATGGAGGAGCTCAGCTATGAGGAATGATTAGCTGACCTGAATTTATTTTCATTTGAGAAGAGGAATTAAGTGGGGATATGATCAACATGTATAAATACATCAGTGGTTCATATAGTGAACTTGGTGTAGAGTTAAGGTCATCCCAGAGGACAAGGGGGCACTCTTTACATCTGGAGAAAAAGAGATTTTATTTCCAAATTTACTCATGTTGTCTTCAAAGACCCACAACCTTTATCCTGTGTCTGTTTTAAAGTAATGTTTTGGAATTTTGGTTATATTTTAACCACTTCCCACCGTGCATATGCATACATGCAGCCTCATAGAAGTGGGTCTTTATCTGTTGGACCACATAATATATATATATATGCATTAGGACTTGTTTTACCCTTTGTCATAAAGGGGTTAATAAATGGCTGCTATGGCCATTTGATTTAACTTTGGTCTGATTTAACTGGGGTATGTTATGAGAGTTGGTTTGGGATGGCCTAGCAGGTAATGGGGCAATGGCTGGGGACATCTGTTCTACCTTAGTCTCCTTTCACACAGGGTGGACTTCGCTTTGCTCAGTGGGGGATGTGTACGTGGAGCCCCTGCTGAGCAAAACAGAGGAATGACAGGTCCGTTTATGCAGATCTGACATGGATACAGCCTACTCTGCTCTATGGGTGGCCAGGTGTGCACAGACTGTCTGTTTACACCCAACTGCCCTCTGATCTGATCTGCCCAGACAGAGGGGAATGGATTCCCTTCCGCAGATTAGATTGGAGGTAGGCAGGAGTAAATTGACACATGTCCATTTATATCTGCAGCTTCATAGAGGAGAATGGAGAGTCTGATTGGATCCACCTGAAAAATGGACAGGCAGACCAGATGGAACCAATTGTGTGAAAGGGGCCTTAGTCAAGTTTAAATGTTTGTAAAAATGTAAAATAGACCAAGCACTCTTATACAGTAATTTTTTTTTAAGACCACCATACTGTTTTGAGAAGGTTCCACATATCAATATATACTCCGCTTCCATCTTGCCATCTATAGGAAGATTACAATACAGATCATGTACACTTTTGGTTTACTAGTGAATTTGTCTATGTGCAATTGGTCTTCAATAACAAAAACCATGAAATAAAATGGTAGACTGGTAGGCCCAAACCTAACTCAGAATAAGAACTTACATTTTCTAGATCCAGCCTTTTTAACCACTTGCCCTCCAGAGGTTCCCCCCCCCCCCCTTCCTGAACAGGCCATTTTTTGCAATACGGTGCTACGTTACTTTAACTGATAATTGTGCGGTTATGCAATGCTGTACAGAAATTAAATTTATATCTTTTTTCCCCACAAATAGAGCTTTCTTTCGGTGGTATTTGATCACCTCTGCATTTTTAATTTTTTGCGCTATAAACAAAAAAAAGAATATTTTTGACTTTTTGTTATAAAACATATCCAATAAAAAAATGTTAAAAATTAAATGTTGTCATAAATTTAGGCCAAAATGTATTCTGCTACATATCTTTGCTAAAATCCCAATACGTGTGAATTAATTGGTTTACGTGACAGTTATAGCTAGAGATGAGCGAATCGAACATGACGAAGTGGAATTCGTTCCGAAGATTTGGAAAAGTTCTATTCGTGACGAATCCGAAGATTAGCAAACTTCGGATGCACGAATCGAATTTTCCCAAAAATGGCGGCGACATGTGTGGCGACGGAGAAAATGGCCAGAGAAGATGGGGCGGGGATCTCTGGGAAGGCGCGCAGACACAAGGCGCGCTGACCCATAATGCATTCATGACATGTGATCGCATTAGCCAATCAGCAGCCAGCCAGCACTGTGTAATGGTGGAGCTATAAATCGCGGCCATCTTAGAATTCTCCATTAGCCTCCGGTCATTCAAGAGAGACAGACCTGTGTGTATTAAGGGACAGAGTTAGGGCCACAGAGACTTTAGGGCCACAGAATCGTTACTCAGGGACACAGAATCGTTACTCAGGGACACAGAATCGTTACTTAGGGCCACAGCTATCAAAGAATCGAAAATTTAAAGTGACATACACCCTTTTTTTTTTTGGTGGCTGTCGTGCACAGTTGGTGCTGCAGTTTGCCGATTGTGCAAAATAAACTGACTTTCTGCTTCACAACCACTATTGTACGTTCAAAGAGTTAAATCCTTTACACACACAACCACTATTGTTACGGGCGGTAATATTTTTTGGGTGATAATAGTGCATTCCAGTGACACAAACGTACAGTTTCCAGCCAACGGCAAGCTGCAATTGACCGATTGTGTACAATAAACTGACTTTCTGCTTCACAACCACTATTGTACGTTCAAAGAGTTAGATCCATTTACACGTCGGGTGGCGGTAATATTTTTTGGGTGATTAGTGCATTCCAGTGACATAAACGTACAGTTTCCAGCCAACGGCAAGCTGCAATTGACCGATTGTGTACAATAAACTGACTTTCTGCTTCAACAACCACTATTGTACGTTCAAAGAGTTAGATCCATTTACACGCCGGGTGGCGGTAATATTTTTTGGGTGATTAGTGCATTCCAGTGACATAAACGTACAGTTTCCAGCCAACGGCAAGCTGCAATTGACCGATTGTGCTAAATAAACTGACTTTCTGCTTCACAACCACTATTGTACGTTCAAAGAGTTAAATCCATTTACACGCCGGCTGGCGGTAATATTTTTTGGGTGATTAGTGCATTCCAGTGACAGAAACGTACAGTTTCCAGCCAACGGCAAGCTGCAATTGACCGATTGTGTACAATAAACTGACTTTCTGCTTCACAACCACTATTGTACGTTCAAAGAGTTAAATCCATTTACACGTCGGCTGGCGGTAATATTTTTTGGGTGATTAGTGCATTCCAGTGACATAAACGTACAGTTTACAGCCAACGGCAAGCTGCAATTGACCGATTGTGTACAATAAACTGACTTTCTGCTTCACAACCACTATTGTACGTTCAAAGAGTTAAATCCATTTACACGCCGGCTGGCGGTAATATTTTTTGGGTGATTAGTGCATTCCAGTGACATAAACGTACAGTTTACAGCCAACGGCAAGCAGCAATTGACCGATTGTGTACAATAAACTGACTTTCTGCTTCACAACCACTATTGTACGTTCAAAGAGTTAAATCCGGTTTTATTTTTGGGGTGCTTATTGAATTAAAGAGTATGTCAGACAACACGCAGAGGAGTGGCAGAGGAGGCAATGTTTCAGGAGCGAGCAGACGTGGCAGCAGAGCAGAGCTCATGCTGCTGCCAGGTCCAGAGTGTGTCATGGGTCCCTGTACGGCCTCCCATTGCTGCTGTCTCCATCGCCACACTCTGCCATGTGCCACTTTCAGGTCTCCTCACACTGCTGGTGGGTTCCATTTTGTCATAGGGTGCTGTATGGCCTCCCATTGCTGCTGCCTCCACCGCCACACTGTGGCTCCACACTCTGGTTTTGGCCCCGTGACTGCCCAAATGAGTGAAGTGTGCGGTGATTCTAAGATCGACGGCACTCATCTGCATGTCATACTGACTGACAGTATTATTTCTCTTCCCCAGCAGACTCCAAGGGCATTTAAATTAAAGGTACAGTGTTCTGCACTAATATAAAGGCTCTCTGAAGCCTAGAAACACCCTTTTTATAAGTTAAATTCGCAGCGAATATATTCGGCTCGAAGCAAATTTATTCGGCGAATTCGGCGAATCAGCCGAACCGAATTTTTGAATAATTCGCTCATCTCTAGTTATAGCATCTAGAAATAGTATATATACTAGAATTTTTATTTTTATTTTTTTTATACTAGTAATGGCGGTGATCAGCAACTTATATCGGGACTGCAGGACTGTGGCGGGCATTCTGACACTGGGTGGGTACTAACTAACTGCCACTGACATCCCCAGTGACACTAATACTGTGATCAGTGCTAAAATAAACCCTGACACTGTACTAATGGCACTGGGCAGGGAGGGGTTAACATCTGGGGCGATCATAGGGTTAACTTTGTGCTGTGTTTTACTAGGGAAACATGCTGTTTTGTATCTCTCTGCTGTGCTGTTTACACACAGGTCTCTCCCCTGTCAGCTTTTCCCGACAATCGCCGAGTGCTGGTCCAGGAATCGCTGGCCAGGACCTGGTGATTGACATCTCTAGCCGCCAATAGCTGCGTGGGTAGGCCAGTGCGCGCACGTGCCCCCTGTCTGGAGAAATATACATGTGATTTTGTGCAGCCCTGCCGCCCTGTAGCAGTACTTCTGCTATAGGGTGGAGGGCAAGTGGTTGAGAGGAGCTATTAACATGTTATGGAAAAAAACACTGAAAAGTGTTCATCAGGCCTCCTTCCAGGATCTCACAATTGATCTGATATTTACTTTTTCTTTTCTTTGCTTTCTTTAATAGATACAATTTACATACTTTCTGGTAGTACAATTTTTTCAGCAAAACACTGCTGTCTCTTTCTGTATCCTAGGCTGGGACTAACGGTTACATGGCACCTGAAATTCTGAAAGACGAGAACTACTCTTATCCTGTGGATTGGTTCGCAATGGGCTGCAGTGTGTATGAGATGGTTGCAGCCCAAACACCTTTCAGAGATCCAAAGGAGAAGGCAAACAAGGACGAGGTGAAACGGAAGACACTGGAGGATGTGGTTACATTTAACCATCCAAACTTCACTGCAGAGGTTAAAGATATATGTAAACTCTTTTTAGCAAAAAGAAACCAGAGGAGCGATTGGGAAGCAGGTGAGGAAAGCCTGTTTTGCTTTGCGTGTACAAAAAAAAAATCACATAACATTTCTTCTTTTGCAAATTATTTATGTCCAGTAACTGTGCTTATACTCAAATACACAAATACAGTACATATATATATATCAACAGTACAACAAAGTAACAAAAAGTGCTCTCAACCAGGAGAGAAGCATCTGCTCCATGTGCCTTACTGCCCTCCCCACAAAACCTCCAAAATACTATGTTTCAGCAAAGCCCAAGTGCGGCAAACTTAAAAACGATCTCTTGCAGCGACTCTGTGTCTGCACTGCAAAGGTTGTTTAATCCATAGGAGAGTTTTTGCACTTTATCTTACTTGATCCTCTGCTTCCCCCAGTAGATGGCGCTCCCTCATGCTCCAGCTGTGGACTATCTGCCATCACATCCAATGCAGGGGTATGGACCCCACATTGGTCTTGGTGATGTCAAGACCTTAGAATACTGGAGCATGGGATGAAGACACTGCAGGAATTGGTCTAGTAGTGCAGAGGAGTGGGTAAGTAGATCCTGTTTTTAATGTCCCCTAGACCTAAATGAGCAATTAACTTTTGCAGTGCAGGTGCAGCCCCACTGCAAGGGATAATTTTTAAGTTTCCCAGAAATGGGCTTTAAATCTCATCCAGTCCTTGATAGTACTTCCCAACATCTCTAGGATGAAAGAGATGGGGTTCCAGTCAGTGTACCAAGACCCAAAAACTAGTAGTTTGGTTCTAGATGTATTAACCCATTGTGGGTGAACTAAAACTTAAATACTGTTCCAACGACATTATGTGTTTATATAGGTGGCTGAGTGACACCCTTGAAAGCCCTGCTATGTTAGGATACAACCTATGTCAGCTATGCAAAATCCCAAATCTTTCTAACATTTGGTCTCTTTTCTTTTCTTAAAGCATTTCTAAAGGTTCAGATTAAAAAAAAACATTTCATACTTACCTGCTGTGTTTTACCTGGTCTGTGGCATAGAGCAGCCCCAATCCTCCTCTTTTCAGAGCCCCGCCAGCACTCCTCGCCCCTGCAGAGGAGAAAGCTTCTTGCCCTGGGTGCACCCGTGCGCGCTCACTCCCAAGCCGCCTCTGTGTGTCTATTTATAAGTATACTGAATGTTGTCATACTACAAAGCATACCTAATCGGAGATGTAGTACCTGACCTGGACTGACATTTCACCTCAGGGGTAGATCACTTAGGCATAGTAGGACATGTAAACAGTCACTTTTAGGTGAAAACACAAAAAAAATGTTATCACACAGTCCATGGGAGAGCAAATGGTTACGGTTGCAGATGCTCAGGTTAAAGCAGATCTCAGTCACTTCACAGGAAAAGAGCCTTTAAGTCGAGACCTGCACTCCTATGTTGGAATTCTCTAGCAATCATCACCAGAAGCAACAGCATCCTTTTTTCTCCAGGAGAGGTACCCAACTCCCACATATGAGTTTCCAACATACAGTGAGGAACAGATGTATTTGAACACCCTGCGATTTTGCAAGTTCTCCCACTTAGAAATCATGGAGGGGTCTGAAATTCACATTGTAGGTGCATTCCCACTCTGAGAGACAGAATTAAAAAAAAAAATTCAGGAAATCACATTGTATGATTTTTAAAGAATTTATTTGTCTTGCACTGCTGAACATAAAGTATTTCAACACCTAAGAAACAGCAAGAATTCTGGCTCTCAAAGACCTGTTACTGTGCCTTTAAAAAGTCCACCTCTACTCCACTTATTTTATAATTATTACTTATTTTATAATTATTAATCTAACTTAGTAGCACCTGTCTGAGATCTTTAAAGACACCTGTCCACCCCACAGTCAGTCAGTCGCCAACTACTACCATGGGCAAGACCAAAGAGCTGTCAAAAGACACCAGAGACAAAATTGTGGACCTCCACAAGGCTGGAAAGGGCTATGGGGCAATTGCCAAGCAGCTTGGTGAAAATAGATCAACTGTTGGAGCAATTGTTAGAAAATGGAAGAGGCTAAACACGACTGTCAGTCTCCCTCGGACTGGGGCTCCATGCAAGATCTCACCTTGTGGGGTATCCCTGATGATAAGAAAGGTGAGGAATCAGCCCAGAACTACAAGGGAGGAGCTGGTCAATGACATGAAGAGAGCTGGGACCACAGTTTCAAAGGTCACTGTCGATAGAACACTACGTCGTCATGGTTTCAAATCATGCATTGCACAGAAGGTTCCCCTGCTCAAGTCATCACATGTCCAGGCCCGTCTGAAGTTTGCCAATGACCATCTGGATGACCCAGAGGAGGCATGGGAGAAAGTCATGTTGTCAGATGAGACCAAAGTAGAACTTTTTGGTCTAAACTTCACTCATCATGTTTGGAGGAAAAAGAAGGATGAGTTGCATCCCAAGAACACCATCCCTACTGTCAAGCATGGGGGTGGTAACATCATGTTTTGGGGGTGCTTTTCTGTGAAGGGGACAGGACGATTGCACTGTATTAAGGAGAGGATGAATGGGGCCATTTATTGTGAGATTTTGAGCAACAACCTCCTTCCCTCAGTCAGAGCATTGAAGATGGGTCGTGGCTGGGTCTTCCAACATGACAACGACCCGAAGTACACAGCCAGGATAACCAAGGAGTGGCTCCGTAAGAAGCATATAAAGGTTCTGGAGTGGCCTAGGCAGTCTACAGACCTAAATCCAATAGAACATCTTTGGAGGGAGCTGAAACTCCGTGTTGCTCAACGACACCCCTGAAACCTAACAGATCTAGAGGAGATCTGTGTGGAGGAGTGGGCCAAAATCCCTGTTGCAGTGTGTGCAAACCTGGTCAAGAACTACAGGAAACGTTTGACCTCTGTAATTGCAAACAAAGGCTTCTGTACCAAATATTAACACTGATTTTCTCAGGTGTTCAAATACTTATGTTCAGCAGTGCAAGACAAATAAATTCTTTAAAAATCATACAATGTGAATTCCTGAATTTTTTTTAAATTCTGTCTCTCAGAGTGGGAATGCACCTACAATGTGAATTTCAGACCCCTCCATGATTTCTAAGTGGGAGAACTTGCAAAATCGCAGGGTGTTCAAATACTTCTGTTCCTCACTGTAAAAGCCCTGCAGACACCTCCAGTAGGATCCTCCTCTGGCTCTACATCCTGTTCTAATCTTCTGCAGGAGAGTTGGCCAAACTCCATGGGACTCCATCCTACCTCCAGTGAAGATCAGCAGCACCAGGCCTCAACTCCAAGCCTACTCACATCTGGACCCCTTCAGGCATGACAGGTCTAAAGAAGTAGTTCCATCACATGCACCCTTCCCAGGCCAGAGCCTGGGGAAAATAGAGCATGTATCAGTCGGCCTTGAATATTTATACCATTTCCCATAATGCATCACTGGTTTAGGAAACTACTAGTGGTTTACTGGGAAAAGATATGCATTCTCATAATCCATACCTACTGTGTCACTAATACCAGAGATGGTAGCACCATCTACTGACAGAAACTAAAGCTGACAGCCAGGCTGAACTTAGGGGTGGCTGAACAAACCAAAGAAAACAAATTAGCATTGCTGACTGCAGCCATGCAGAACTAAATCCGGATACTGTTGCTTAAGGAAGGGCGGATACAGAGACATCCAGCTAAACAGAAGCTGATATAAGGTTTCAGGTGATTGGTGAAGAAAGTAGCATCTGTGCACCCCTTAGAGCCATTGGCTGCTTTACCCATTTTCATTAAAGTGGTTGTAAACCTATAACATGAAAAATGAACAAAGCATGTCGCTTTATAGTGTGTATTTGCCTCAATCCAAAGTAACAAGTGTAATTTCTCTCTGCTCTGTCATCCCTCAGTTATCTGCATGATTCACTCCTAATAGGTTAGGCTGACACAACAGAATGAGAACTCCATCCCCCTCCAGCTCACAGTGGATGACTGACAGCCTCAGCTATGTATGTTTCTCTATGAGCGTGTGTGTGTGTGTCCTCTCCATCCACTCTGCTCTCAGATTACACAGAGCTCTGTGCTCTGGCCATGCAGCATGTTTGACATCAGATCCCTAGCCGTTGCCTTCTACTGCTGAGAAATAGCCTGTGATCCGTGTACTTTGGAGAAGAGAGGGCTGCAGATAAACAGGTACAACTTATGTAGGAGGCTTTCTTTCATCTCTGTGTATAACCTGAGGCTAGTCACTTCCCAAGGTATATCAACCACTTTAGCTGTCAGTGATTATTCAACGTTTTGTACACATATTTAGTAAGATTAGTGAAAATGTAATATATTTAAAAGGATTATGGAATGTGTCATCTGGTGTATACTGAGAAAATCAAAAAATGAGAACAAACACAGATGTTTACATGTACACCAGAAACAGATTGTCTTCTGAACATTTGACCTCTCACCAGATTATGAGTTTCAAATCTAACTTTTTATTCATGCTGTCTTTTCTGGTTTGCTTAATAATATTGTATATTTTTATAGGTTTAATAATTAGAATTCTTAGCCAAATGTAAATTAAAATCATTACTAAGTCATTATTTCCATCTGCACATGTTGAATTTATTAGCACATATTCATAATTAGGGAATGGCTATGTACAAGTAGAGACTGCTGCTCTGACTTAATGTAAAAGAGAAGAAAAGCTTGTTTTGTCATACTTCTCATGTGGGTTGCAGGAGTACACTCTTGCACCCCTATGACCCAGAATCAGCCGACAGGGGGCTAAAGTCAGCTGTGGGCTGATGTCACAGACCTGCTCAGGTCTGTGAAAAGATCCAGACAATAATGTCAGGATCCACCCAGATTCTTGACCAGCAGCTGGCTCAGCCTCTCAGCGCTATGCCGAGAACCTGAGCCAGTTGCTTCCACTCCCTCTCCTGCCTGGTGCTCCACTGAGTGCTGAAGGGGCAGAGCAGAGAGCGGTGATTGACAGTCACCACTCTCTGCTCACAGCAAACCTGAGAACTAAGTAATCAGTTGTCTCGTGAT